TAGTTCACATTGCAAAACGACAAAATTTTGATTGTAGACCATATGCAAAATGACAATGACATGCCTTTTTCTTTCTACAATCACCCGTTCAAGATCTGTTGCACCATGGAGCACTTTGCAACATCATAAAGGCTGAAAAAGAGATCCAACTCGTCAACGTTTTTGCACAAGTAACGCACAACAACTACCCTTTTATTCGTTGTTACGTTCAGAAAATTTTTTAAGTGCCTCATAAAAGGCAATACGCTGCTCTTTTGCATCAACTTGGTTTGTAAGACGTGCTGACAACTTAAAAAGACGTGTCTCCTCGCAAACGGATGAAATTAGCCCGATTAATTTACCCTCTACCTCAACATTACGCTTTCTTTTTCCGTCACGCTTATACTTACCGGACGCACTACTCTCACCCGCTTGGGCCGAAAAAGAGTCTATGTTATTTTCAGGGTCGTCACAATGTTCCGGGACTGAGTTTTGTGTTGGGATAGGGCTAGGTGCATGGACGTTTCTTTCATGCATCACATCGTTAACCGCGTCAGTGAAACCTTGTGCCCCCTCTCCCATTGTCCGGTGCTTGCCAAATATTTCATCCAATCCGCATAAAAGGGTCAAGATTTATAAAGCATTGGCTTGGCCTAAAAGAAAGCAATGAAAAAAATATAATTGGGCCTTCTTAAATTACATTTTTATGAAAGAACATAATAAAATGTGAAAATGTAATAATTACCTTGATGTAGGCTTGCCAAACGACATTATCCTTCACATTAATCACGTTTTCTGTTTCACTCCATTCGAACCCCAAACTTCCAAGCATTCTCGATAGTAAACCATAATGCTTTTTCCAAACCGTAATCTTTGATGATGTGTGTAGTTCGGCTCTTATGTTAGTACCTGGGAAACATTGGGCCATATGTTGCTCTAATATGTTGGTGTATTCGGAGCGAAATCCAAAGTCACATTTTCAGTCGCGTGAAAGAAGATCGCGCAAACCTTGAATCTTAATGCACTTTTCTTGTTTAGATTCCAAACTCGACGTTGTCCATTGTTCTGTGAATTGCATCCCCAATTACCGGTGGATTCCATGACTAACTAACGACCAAAGAGAGAAACCAAGAATTGTAGGTTAATCGGTTGAACAACAAGAATACAATATACAGTAAGGAAGAAAAATCATAATTAACAAGGACAAACTCTTTATTATGCACACAGCCGAAGCGAAAAAAAAAAGTATTAGTCACACATTACATTCAATGATTCACATAATATTGTTTTCCACAAAAAAAAACATGAATATGTTTTTGTGGTTCATATTTTTAAATACAAACACTAGTCATGATATAGGCAACAAAACATTGTTTGCATCAGTCTTCAACTCCGGCCATCCCATTCATTAAACATTGAAATAGCCAAAGCATCTCAATATTTGTCCACTCCATGCTGGGCTCTACAACGTCAACATAGTCAATGGGGTCATGGGCCCCAGGGGTTTGGTGCTCATTCGTCGTAGAGTCTCCCTCATTTTCTATAGGGTCAACATTAATGGTAGTACGAATAAAGTTTTGATGAAGACAACAAAACAGGGGAAAAGTCGCTCCTAATTTTTGCCGCTCAGCAACCCTAATTTTTGCCGCTCGAATCCTTCCCCCTCTGCCGTAATAGTTGCATGTTAGATATGCTGTAAAAGCTTGGCTTTCAGATATAAACAATACCATTCTGATCTGATAATCGTGTTTTAGTCAAAGTATTTTTTTGCAGTTTTATTTTTTTATGCAATCATAACTCCATTATTTTATATTGTAGATTATCTGGTTCGTCGTGTTGAACAGAAAGATCATATTATCGGTTTCTTGTAAGAAATAAATTAATTGTTCGCAGTTTAGACAAACAGTGAGAACCCTGTTGGAAAAAGATTGTAATGTAGTCTTGATTCAGTTGATCTTTGACTGATAGATTACACTAGTACTTATGATAAGTATTGAACGGACCCAGAAGGATAAGATTATAAGATTTACTGATCGTGGTTATAATCTAGACCTTCAGTAATTGATGCATAATCTTAAGTTGTAAGATAATATAAAATTGTCATATATATTCATTACTTATTTATTTCATTTACCAAGAGTGATTCCTATCCTATTAAGATGACAAACTCCAAATTTTGGTAAGTAAGAGTGTTTATATGATGTGCTGTTATAAATTCTTTACAGTCACTATGTCTCAGTGCGCTGGGTTGATGACGTCCCCGAAATGAGCTCATGAAAGAATGTTATGTCAAACCCTGCATGTGGATAATTATCCGAAATAATGATTAATGAACTGAGTATTACTAATTTCAAAATGAAAGAAGTCAATTTAATTTAATTGTCAATAATTAAATTAATTGACGGACGTTATATCTTAAACATAGGGAAATAAATCGATCAATTAGATTAATATTTGTTAATCATTTGGAGGTTCGAATTTATTGAATAAATTGGAGCTAAATGCGGAGAGCAATAATATTACTCTAGCGGGATGTTTTATTTAATTCTATTTAGAAAATTATGAATTAATTATATTCCATATTTTATATTCCACTAGGAGATGAATATTCGTTTTAGAATATTATATAGGGTTAGGAGACTATGGAGTCTTCTAGAAGGAAATAAAGGTTAGGAGGAATAGGACTTCTAGATCGGATAAGATATGAAGTAGGATTAGGATTCCTAAGCCTAAAGGGATAAACTCATATTTAGCACCTCCTTACGGTCCCTAATGTAGCCTATAAATACACCATGTCCCAAACTCTTCTCCTACCCATGATGCTCGATTTTAGGTCTCCCTAAGAGAGAAAAATTGTGTTCTTCATATATTCGAGAGTTCGGGAGATTCCATTAATCGCACCACCAAGATTAATCGAAGTAGGTTTTAGGTTACAATAGAAGGCTTTAAGGTACAATTTATTTGAGCCTATTTGATTACATGTGAATCGGCCACCTACCGCCGCCGTCGACCGCCGCCGAAAATTGCCGCCGCCGCGTCCCAGCCGCTCGGCGAGTCGCAGCTCCCCAGCAACGTCGCAAGCCTCCAGCCGTAGCCCAACGACATCGGCGCACGTCCCCATCAGCGCCAGTACGCCGTCCCTGTCCCTGCACGCCGCGCGCCACCTTCCGTGTTCATCGCGTGCCCCGCCTGCTTGCCGCGCACTCCAGACGCCGACGATCCCGCGCGCTCAAAGCTCACAGGAATAGGCACTCACCGCGAGCTACCTGCACTTGGTTATTTTTAATAAATAACCAAGGTTCTGATTGGTATAATGGAATGGAATGTCTAGGAATGGAATGAATTGAAGATTGAAATGATTATGAGAATGGAATGAAACAAGTTTTGTCATTTATGCGTTGGTATGTAGAAGGAATAAGCCTGAATTGAATGACATTATCATTGTTTTATTATCAAAATAAATAAAAGCTTTTTTTAAAAAACTAATATATTTTTAATAAATTATATATAAATGCTTTTTTAAAAAATAATATTTTAAAAATATCTACAAATAAAATAATATAAATTTAAATTATATATAATAAATAATTTATTCTTAAAAGTAATATATTTTTAATATATAAAAATAATATATTTTTAATAATATATAAAAATAAAAAGTAATATATTTTCAATAATGTATAGTTTTATTTTTAATAAACAATAAATAAAAGTAAGTTTTCAATCTTTTTTATGTGAATTTTATTTTATAAATTAATATATATTTAATAATATATAAAAATAAAAGTAATATATTTCTAATAATATATATTTTTAATATTTTTAATAATATATTTTAATAATATATTTTTGAAGTAATATATTTTTATTATACAAAAAATAATATATTTTTTTTTTAATTCTGTATAAAAATAAAATAATATATCTTCAAATTTATATATAAATGCTTTTTTTAGTTTTATTTTTATATAAGTATTTAATATATCTAATTAAATAATAAATAAAAGTAAGATTTCAATATTTTTATTTGAATTTTATTTTTTTTAAATAATTTTATTTAATATATTTTAATCATTATTTCTAATATATATTATATATTTATTTTTTATTATTATTTGTTAATTTTATTTTTTGAAAAATTGATTCCTACACACATGGGAATGAGAAAACCTTCCATGAATTATGGAATGGCTAATCCCATGGAGATGGGCTTTGTCATTCCCATTGGAATGGTCATTCATTTCCGAAAAATATACCAATCATGTGATAAGGAATGAGTAAGGGAACGATCATTCCATTCTCATGTCATTCTCTCATATCAATCATGCCATAAGTGAATTAACAATGTTATTTTAAAATCTGAAAACTAATTTATATACATCGTTAATTTTTTTTAATGTAGTTGTTTTTAAAACACATAAGGAAATAATATGAACAAAGCACAAAATTTAGAAAGTAAGATTATCAGTAATGCTCCTCTACCCACTGGTGGGCACATGCTAATATGTCCACCCCTTATGTGGCATGCACACATTAGTGATGTTAACATCACCAATGTGTGTATGCCACATAAGCGGTGGGCATATTAGCATTGCCCACCGTAGGTAGGGGAGCATTACTTGTAAAATTATATGCACATTATAAAAAGAACATAATAAATAGATTTATATGGAATGATAACTATAAAATATGTGTATATATATGGTAATTCGAACATAAGTTATTTGGTATAAAAAATTAATAATTTTTATCTAAGCTATATTACAAAGCATAATATTTTGCCATGTAATATTACGAAGCGTGCGAAACTGCCCGTGTTCTATGAATATACACAAGGGGAAGGGGATATATAGATGGAAAATATAATAAAAGGACTAATTTTTTTTAAAAAAAAAAAATGTTGAAAACAAATATAATTGGATTACCCAATCTGATTTTTTTTAGGAGGCGAAGTGGTTTTAGATAACAGAAGTCAAAAACAAGGAAGCAGCAAGCGAGGGAGCCGAAGCACGCAGCAAACAATGGAGGGGTTGCTGCACCCTCTTAGACTGAAGCATCTTCTCCACCTCACCTGTTTCTGCAGACCCGCCAAAACCAATTTTCTCTTTGCAAAATCGCGACCCTTCTGCACCGTCCGCTGCTCTTCTACCGCCGCCGCCGCCGCCGCGGTTGCCCCTGGTGGTCGAAATCGCAGAACCTCCTCTTCTACGACTTCAACGTCCGACAGAGAGGCTATTCGCGCCATTCGGATTAAAAAGGTCTAATGTTTGCCGCTTGTACGAAACTAATGATTATTGGCTTGATGAATTTCTTATTTGGAGAAATGGACACTCTTTTGATTTCTATGCTTCTGGCTCTAAGTTCAGCTACTTAGAATGGGACCTTTCTCCATAAATGTTTCATACATTATTTATGTTGCCAATATGGTTGATGCACGCTTGTAATTTATATGCCTTGTGTTAGTTGTTGAAGATTTTCCTCATGCTGTGTACTACGGAGCTTTATGCTTCTGTAATGTTATGTAAAATAAATTTTCTTGGTGAGACTACGACAAGCAAATGCTTTTATGCTTCTGAATTGCTATGTTAAATAAGTTCCGTTAGTGAGTCTGAGAGAGCAAATGTAATATCTGAAGTGCAGTTTCATGGTGGGGGCTTGCTTTGGGGATCTCATACTCTGTTGGGAGCTGATTTTATCTTCGAAAACTAAGTGCTGAAGCCGAATTTTTGAGTGAATCAGAAGTTCGAATTATTTTGATCTGAATGATAGTGGTGTATGGTTACATCCATTTGAAACTGATTTTATATATATAGGTGGAAGATCTAAGGAGCAAGGGTTTAGATCCCTATGCTTATAAGTGGGAACGTACACATACAGCAAATCAGCTTCAAGAAATTTACAGAGATTTAGAAAATGGTGAAGAGTCAAATGGCGAGAGTGACAATGTATCTATTGCTGGAAGAATTGTGGCTCGAAGGGCATTTGGGAAGCTTGCTTTTCTAACTTTGAGGGATGATTCCGGGACGATACAGGTTCTGCTCAGTATGATATTGATTCATAAATTGTGATTCACTGAGATGACATACGTGCTTTCGGCTTTCCTATGCTTATAGTTGTGCTTGTAGGTGTTGATTTTGTCTTCACTCATACATAATAGCTTCAGTTTTATTCATGACTGCGTAATCTTGAGCAAATGAGTGTGCATGTATGTTAGTGCATAATTTCAAAAGGCTACAAAATTTGGAAGTTCTGCTGATGAACCACAAAGCGCTTGTAATTTGATTGTATGTGCTTATGTAGTTCACAGAAAATACAGGAAAAACTGTTGCTGGCTTAGTTATTTTTATTACATTAAATTACAAAATCAGAAAAATAACTTGAAAACCAAAGGTTCTGTACAACTCATTTGTATGATTTCAGCATTAGTTGATAGAGAGACAAAGTTTTAAGCAAAAGATTCATAATTATGCTGTTGGGTTCTTCTCGACTTTTCATGGTCTGGCTGAGATGTAGTTTTTATTGGCTGAAAGTATAATTATTTGGTCATTTACAACTAGAAGAGCCTAATACCTCTTATAAACCTTTTCATTGAAATATATAATGCTTTGCAACTGCTTGATGTAATCATCTGTTCCTATTTCTGTTAGTTTAAATTATTTTCTTAAGTTTTGCTTTCGTCATTTAAGTAGCTTTGTCACTAGTGCTTTTGTGTGTGAACCAATTTTTCTGATTGTATGTAGGAGTGAAGTTATTTCTTTTTGTTTTTTAGCTGTATTGTGAGAAGGAAAGGCTGCTAAGTGATCAGTTCGAACTTTTGAAGGCACTGGTTGATATAGGCGATATTTTGGGGGCAACGGGCTCAATTAAGCGCACTGAAAAAGGTATATGTTCTTGTTTTGTCTTAGTATCTAATTCTGGAGAATTGTATAGAGGATTATCTAGTTCAAATAGCTGTGCTATAATTGCGTACACTTTGGAGTATGTAGAAGATTGAAATCTGACTGTGTTGGACAGTTGACAGATGAATATATCATTCGTTATTTACCGTCTTGATGCACCACAGGATCAATGCTCGTATATATGATGATTGTCAGATTTTCATGAATCTTCGCTAAATGTGTACAATGGTTTACAGTTGAACTATTTCTGAAATAAAGCCATTTATTTTTATCTTCCTGTAAACGGTTTTTGCTCATTTTGTTTAGTCATTTGCCAATATTAATGGGAATGCTGGAAGAATAACCTCGTAATAAGATATTTTTCCAGTCTTTAGAGTTTTTGTTCTGATATGAAAATGCGAGCGTAGCTGTTGAGATTCATTTTGGGGTTAGGCTTGAGTCGAGGAAAAAAAAGTATGAAATTATACAGATGCACTATATTATAATGATAGTTCTTTTATCTTTATTTGTGTTAGAAGTTATGTTTTTCCCACATAGATTAGTTACTAGGCTACTATTATGATTAACTGTGGGTCGGGCACCCTGTTCTTTTGTGTTGGGGGTGAGTTCTACCCAGATCCATTTAAAATAATGATATCGAAGAACACATGATTGTTTGTTGAGTGGAAACCCATTTTGTTCGTCACGCTGCACGTGAGGGGTATTAGAAGTTATATTTATCCCACATCAGTTAGTTACTTGGCTATTATTATGTATAAATGTGGTTTGGGAACCCTCTACCTTTGAGCTAGCTTTTCGGATGAGTTCTACCCTAACCCATTTATCGATTTGTAACAGAGCCGCCAATCTGTTAAATTCAGCAATGATTATGGGTTATAAACTGTGTGAGTAGAGATTATCACTTTGAAAGGGCATTATATTTGATATCTTTAGTGCAATTCTTTCCTCTCTTTATTTATTGAACATATTTCATTAACTTGTTCATCTTGTGATATATTGTCTTTGTGCTGCTATTTTTTTTTTTTTTT